GTCTCACAACAAGTCACTGAGATTTACTCCCTAAAAATAACATCGGTTCATTATTTCTCATGATTCTGTGGGTTTGCTCATCTTTGCAAATGGAATTTCTTCTCAGGATTGTGGTCTCAGGGCAGTGCTACCATCTAGGGGAACCTGGAGCCACTGAGGGCTTAGGCTCAGGACCTTAAACCACATCACTTTTGCCACATTTTGTTGGCCACAAGTTCAGCTCCAGTTCAAGGGAGTAGAGTATACACTCACCTTTGCATGAAGACTGTTGCAAAATTACATTGCAAAGTGGTATGCCTGGAGTGGGAGGGGCTTGTGGTCATTATGCAATCTACAAGATCAAGTTTCTTAATTTTAAAGAAGGTGAAGAAGATGGTATCTATCCGTTTCCCAGCACTGTCACAGGCACTCATCCAATTTTTCCCTTTCTTTCCTTTAAGAATCATTCTAAGCAGAATGTGAAGGTGCTGTTAAGCTCTGACGGCACTTGGGCTTACTGTCAGTATTTACAATGCACACTTTGAAGGAACACCTGCAACTGCCTGAAGCTACTAATACAGGCTTGTGTAACAATCTGGTGTGACAAGAGGCCCTGTTCAATCTGAATTTCAGACAGCTGCAAATAATGTACAAGTTTGTCTTCCCTTGCGCCATTCTAGAATTTTATTATGAGCATTCCAACCTAGGTATTTAATTTTTGAAAATGAAATTGTATTTACTTTTACTCATTTCTTTCTTCCTATGTCTTTACACTTAGTTCTAACTCATTCTTTTAACAGCTTCACGGTATTTCAGGTTATATTTAAACACCTTCTGATGGCTGTTTGGACTACTTGTAAATTTTCTTTGTCACAAAGAGTGCTGGGCCCAGCATTGTGGCACAGCAGGTTAAGATGCCAGCTGTGATGGCGGCATCCCATATGAGTACCCGTTTGAGTTGTGCTGCTGCACTTCCAATCCAGCTCCCTGCTGCTGTACCTGGGAAAGCAGCAGAAGATGGCTCAAGTGCTTGGGCCCCTGCAAACCTTGTGGGAGACCTGGATGGAGTTCCCGATGGCTGACACTGGCTTGGCTCAGCCCCAACTGTAGCCACCACTTGAGAAATGAACCAGTGGGTAGAAGATCTCCTTCTCTTCCTCTAACTTTGTTTTTCAAATAAGCTAATTAAACGTAAAAAAAAAAAAAAAGCATAGAGTGCCATAGCATGTCTGAGGGTACTCCCAAAACTTCATAGAACATGGAATTAAAGAATAAGTTTGGAGTCTGGCATTATGGCAGAGCAGGCTAAGCTACCACTTGTGACACCGGTATCCCATATTGGAGTGTTGGTTCCAATACCAGCTGTTCTGCTTCTGATCTATCCCCTGTTAATGCACCTGGGAGGGCAGTGGAAGAGGGCTCAAATGCTTGGGTCCCTGCAACCCATGTGGGAGGCCAGGATGGAGTTCCTGGCCTCTGGTACAGACCTGGCTGTTCCAGTCATTTGGGGAGTGAACCAGGGGATGGAAAATTTCTCTCTGTCATTCTGCCTTTCAAATAAATAAATAAGTAAATAAAGAAATTTTTCTTTAAAAATTGGTAAATTAATTTTGGTACAAAATTGTTGAAATCCATGCATAGGTAGGGTCTTCAAAAAGTTCATAGAAATGCATATTATGAAAAACTATGCATAAATTTCAAATTGTTTTTATACCAAAATAAACTTTTAAAATTCCGTTTTCCATAAGCTTTTTGAGGTACCTTTGTATTATTTAACAAATATATTTGCATATTTTTGAAGTATAAAGTCTTAGGGCTGAAAATATGATTTAAAAGGATATGCTGGTGGCCGGCGCCATGGCTCACTAGGCTAATCCTCTGCCTGTGGCGCCGGTACCCTGGGTTCTAGTCCCGGTCGGGGCGCAGGATTCTGTCCCGGCTGCTCCACTTCCTATACAGCTCTCTGTTGTGGCCCGGGTAGGCAGTAGAAGATGGCCCAAGTGCTTGGGCCCTGCAACCACGTGGGAGATCTGGAAGAAGCTCCTGGCTCCTGGCTTAGGATTGGCGCAGCTCTGGCCTTTGGGGCCAGTTGAAGAGTGAACCAGTGGATAGAAGACCTTTCTCTCTCTCTCTCTCTCTCTCTCTCTCTCTCTCTCTCCTTCTCTCTCTGTGTAACTCTGACTTTCAAATAAATAAATAAATTCTTTTTTTAAAATGATACGCTTTGAAACCAGATTATTAAAATGCTGTTAAGAAACCATCACTGGGATTTATGTACTGAAAATACAACCATGTTTCGTTTCTTTCTTTCTTTCTTTCTTTCTTTCTTTCTTTCTTTCTTTCTTTCTTTCTTTCTTTCTTTCTTTCTTTCTGACAGTGAAAGAAAGAGAGAGAGAGAAAGGTCTTTCTTTTCTGTTGGTTCACCCCCAAATGGCCGCTACGGTGCTTCCTCCTGGTCTCCCTTGAAGGTGCAGGGGCCCAAGCACTTGGGCCATCCTCCACTACCTTCCTGGGCCACAGCAGAGAGCTGGACTGGAAGAGGAGCAACCGGGATTGGAACCCGGCACCCATATGGGATGCTGGCGCCACGGTGCCGGCCTTAGGTGACATTTTTTTTAAAGATTTATTTATTTCCTTGAAAGTCAGAGTTACACAGAGAGAGAAGGAAAGGCAGAGAGAGAGAGGTCTTCCATCCCCAAATGGGGATGTGGATGGTCTACTCCCCAAATGGCCACAACAGCCAGGGCTTGGCCAGGCTGAAGCCAAGAGCAAGTAGCTTCATCTATGTCTTCTGTGGGTGGCAGAGAGGCCATCTTTTACTACTTTCCCAGGTGCATTAGCTGGGAGCTGGATTGGAAGTGGACTAGCCAGGATTTGAACTGGGGCCTATGCGGGATGCTGGTACTGCAGGTAGTGTCTTAACCCGCTGTGTCACAGCACCAGCCCCAGTAATGGTTTCTTTTTTATTTTTAAAGAAACATGGTTGTTGGCCTGCGCTGCTGCTCACTTAGCTAATCCTCCGCCTGTGGCACTGGCACCCTGGGTTCTAATCATGGTTGGGGCGCCAGATTCTGTCCCGGTTGCTCCTCTTCCAGTCCAGACCAGGAGGAAGCACCTGGCTCCTGGCTTCGGATCAGCGCAGCGCTGTAGCGGCCATTGGGGGGTGAACCAATGGAAGGAAGACCTTTCTCTCTGTCTCTCTCACTGTCTAACTCCATCTGTCAAATAAATTAAAAAAAAAAAAAAGTCACATCCACTTTCTTGGCTAAAATATCAGTTCCCATTCTGCCATCCTTAGTTTGACCTTGAATGGTGGAGCAGTATCCTAAGACCATGTTAGGTCAGGAATTGAACCAGTGTCCACATGGCCCAGAAGCAGGCTTGAAAATCCAGAAAGCCAGGGTAAAACGTAGACAGAGAAGAAGAAAACATAAGGGGAAAGAATGGGAAGAGGAAGAAAGAGATATAGAGGCAACGAACGAATCAGCAAATAAAGCGCTGTTCACATTGCTGAACATCACCAGTGGTGCCCCAGGACCGTTTCACTTCTGATTGTTCATCCTCCTCAGGGGAACTCCTTCCAGACAGGACAATGTCCATTCATCTTTGTTTCCCCGTGTCCAGCATGATGCCTGACAAACAGTCTGTGTTTACTATGGCCTGAAGCAGACCATAGTAAAGTACTAATGAACATTTTAAATTTTAAATTCCATGGCTAGCCCTAGGCATAGGCATATTCAGAGCCAGAAGATTTTTATAGACAAGTTTTCATTGGACTGAGGTGCTTGTGAAAGATACAGACTCCTGTCCCCACTGTAGAAATTCTGATACAAGAGATCTGGGTGGAGTGGGTGAGGCCTGGGAATCTGTAGGTTCAACACCTGCCTCAACTGTTGCAGATACAGCTGGTGAACCAAAGGCAGCTTGTAAATTAGTACATCAGATGCCTTACACATTTGGAATTGCTTTGGCCATTTAGACGGTAAGTGTCCTGAAGCTGCATCTGAAAAGAACAGAGGACTACCCTGTCATGTAAATCTGTCAATGAGATGACGCTAGAAGATGTTTGTCACCAAGCTAGATCCCAAATCTTGGTATGTCTGGCAAGGCTCTGACAACTCCCAGTCCCTAAGGTTGTGAGAACTCCAACAGGGAAGATGTGTGGACACAAATCGAGAGGAACTTACTTGTCTTTTTGTTTGTTTGTTTGTTTTTAAGATTTATTTATTTATTTGAAAGTTAGAGTTACAGAGAGAAAAGGAGAGATCGAGCTTCCGTTGCTGGTTCACTCCCCCAGGCAGTTGCAACAGCCAGGGCTGGGCCAGGCTGAAGCCAGGAGCCAGGAGCTTCTTCCTGGTCTCCCACATGAGTAGCAGGGGACCAAGCACTTGGGCCATCCTATGCTGCTTTTCCCAGGTCATTAGCAGGGAGCTGGATCAAGAGTGTTGCAGTCGAAACACAAACCCACGCCCAAATGGGACGCCAGCATTGAAGGCGGCAGCTTTACCTGCACAGGCTTTTTCCCTCCTATTATTCCCACTGCATAGATAAGTAAACTGAGGCCCAGAGTGTGCTTACAACACGCCAGCAACTCCCAGGTGGTAACAGCAATGCTGTTGTTAGCTTAGATCACTGTTGTCCTCACTGACTCAACAGGACAATACAATACCATAAAAATACGCACGTGGTGGCAGTGAGCATCCTATTCCACTCCGGCTACCCTTCTTTGACCTGCGATTGGAGTCACACTCCTTTCCACCCAGGAGGTAGCTGAGGCCAAAAGGTATTGTGACAAATCCACACGGCTGTAAAAGGCAGCTCGTGGAGGTGGAGTCCAGATTCTCCGACTTCACCGTCAAAAGCTCAGGCGAGGCTTCGGTGGCAGGGCCCCGTGCAAACCCAGAACGAAAGCCCGGCCTGCCATGGAGCGCTTGCAGGTAAACTCCCGGCCCCCAGGCCGGTGGGACTCCCGAGCCTGAGGCGAGTCGCCGCCGGATCTGAGGCTGGTTGTGGGTGGGGCCCGGCGCACCAGTATCTAACTCGGATCTAGAATAGTTAGGATTTACGAAATACCAGCTTTCCCCCCCTCTAGTCTCCACCCGCAGATGATTATCACTCCGAGGTTTCTGACTTCCGCAGGGCACCCTACTAAAGGGCAAGACCCGGAGACCCCGTTCCCGGAGCTGGAATGGGGCCAGAGCGGAGGTGGAGTCAGAGCGGAAACCTAACGGGGGTCAGGGGTTCGGCTTGGGGTGGTGGGGAATCACCCCGGAGAGAAGGCAGCTCGGTGGCTCTGCCCCGGGCCGGAGGGAGAGGAGTGGCGACGAGAGAAGGCGCCCTTCTGAGCCACCCGGGTCACGGCCCGCGGGCGGGTCCCGGACGCAGACCAGCTGGGGTCGCGGCCTTTGGCGGCGGCGGCGGCGGCGGCGGGAGAAGAGCCCAGGCCGCCGTGCGGGTGCGCCTCGCACCGGAGACCCGGAGCGATGAGAGTGCAGGTGGAGGTAAATGCCGGCCCTGGGGCAGTCGGCGCCCTTGTCCAGCTCCGCGTCCCCCCGCGCTCGCTGCCTTGAGCCCCGTCCCGCGCACCCACGCGTCGCGGGGCACGAAGGGAAGTGTGCGGGCTTGGGGAGGGCGCGCGCCCCCGGCTGCCGGGAGCGGGCGGGCCGCGCCGGGGAGAGGAGTAGCTCGCTGAGGCAGGGGACGGGAGTGCAGAGCTGCCTGGCCTTGCCCCGTGCTAAGGCGGCCAAGCCTCGCGCGGCTGTCGCTTACCTGCCTTGGCAGGACTCGCAAACCTGGGTCTGAGTGAGTACGGCTGACGGAGCGCGGGGTGCCCAGGCCTAGCGCGGGAAGCTTGAGGAGTGAGAGCTCGCTTCCGCCTGCCCTGGTGGATAGGAGCGTGCAGGCTGGAGCCTGGCAGCCTGTTAGTATCCTAGCTCCATCACTGCTTATGCTCCTGAGCAAGTTACTTCACCTCTTTGCTTCGGCGGGAGAAACGGAATAATACTATTTATAATTGAGATTGGAACCCGGGTCAGTGCTTTAAAACGTTGAGAGCAAGGATGTTCCAGCACACACATGACTGTGATCATGTGTGGATGCCAAAGTGGGAAACGGGTTCTTAGATGTCGTATCCCCACTGCACAAATGTGGCTGTTTGATTTTGTCATCTGCTCTGCATTTTTCCATGCCTATAAAGCATGAGATATTTTGGCTTGATTGGCACCTGAACTTGACTGGAAGAGTCTGTTTGGCCTTTTCTTCTGTTTCTCACCGGGGGCTAGTGACATTTGGGATGCAGCTTATTATTTAGGTGTGTTTTTATACAAACGCATTTATGGTTCTGATTTGTGCATCTGTTTTTACATAAATGGAATGCTACCATATGCATTGATCTATAGTTTGAGTCACGTACCAATGATTCCTGTAGCTTATTCTATGTCAGTACACATTGATGCTTTCTGGAATCGAATGCTCAGACGAGCAGGAACAATCACGAGCATACACACAGCATTTTCTTGTGACCAGTCACTCTTCTAGAATCACTCAACCCATAGTTACTGAGTGCCAACTATGTTCTAAGCCCAGTTTCAGAAACTGAGAATATACAGTGAACAAAACTTTTATTTTTTGAGATACAGAGGGATGGTGAGCTGCTTCTTGAGAAAATTGGCTCAGCTTCAGTTTTAGTTTGATTTTCCTTTCCTACGTTACAAACATCATACAATCAAACCTCAGTCTCTCTTGGTGTAAAATCATAACCATTAAAAATTGAGCTCCATACTTTGTGTGTCAGTAGACCAACACAGCTGTGCCAAAGAGCTGTAGAGATAGATAAAATGTGATATATATAAATGTGATATATAAATAATTATAAATAATAAGTAAAAATATAAATGTTATATATTCAACTGCAAAAAGAAAATTGAATTCTGACACATACTACAAAATAGACTAACATTTATGACACCTCGCTAAATGAAATAAGCCAGTCACAAAAAGACAAATACTGTATGATTCCATTTATGAGGTATTTAAGGAAATCAGAGTCATTGGTGTTGCCAAGGTTCAAGAGTGGGAAATGGGGAGTTGTTTAATGGTTATAGAGTTTCAGTTTTGCAAGATGAAAAGGTTCTGGAAAATGATTGTGCAACAATGCTAATGTACTTAACACTGTGCACTTAAAAATGGTTAAGACAGGGCCAGCATTTGGCATAAGGATTAAAATGCTTTTGGGATGCCTGCTTCCCATATCAGACTGCCTGGATTGAAGTCCCAGTTCTACTCCTGATTCCAGCTTCTGGCTAATATACACCCTGACTGGCAGCAGATAATGGCTGAAGTGATTGGGTTCCTGCCACCCCCAAGAGGAGCTAGGTGGAATTCTGGGCTCTTGGATTTAGCTTTTCCAGCTCTGGCAACAGAGTGCCCCTGGAAACTTTTTTTGGCTTGACTTGGTACCTAGCATGCATTTTCTAAGCCTCCCTTGTTGGCGGCAGCCCAATACTGTTTTGATGAGTGTTGCATTTCCGTATCTCTGGGAAGAGGTTTCTCAGTTATTTAGAATAGATAAACTCCAAGACTACTTAAGAATGCCACAACCGATAAGGCAGTTGGAAGCAGTGAGAAGTAGTCATTTCATCTTGTCAGTACATCTTCAGTGGAAATGAAGACTTTGCCCAGGATAATGTACAGTGCTGCCCCCAGCTGCGGTGGTCACCCTGCATTGTCCCTGCTCCCTTGGGTTCACAGCCCTAATATAATGCAGATAGGTCCTCCGCCTCCTGCTGCCTCCAGATCTTCTCCAAACAGTCCAGAACCGGATGGCGGCCAGATAGCCCAGGATTCCAGCTGTGCTTTGTGTTTTGACTGGTGAGACTAACCTGGTGCACTTCATTGTTCTTTATTCTTCCACTACTCTCTCAACTCTGTGGTCATCACACAGAATTTCCTCCTAGGCAGACTCAAAGCCCAGTGGGATGAATAACTGGGCAACTGAAGTGCTCCCCTTGTTTGACTGATTTGAACTAGGAGATCTTTATAGATAGTCCATTCTGAGCAGAGCACATGGCCTGGGGCAGGAAACATTCCTGTTTGTCAGAAATTTGTGCTTTTTGTGGCAGGTGTGCTGGGTGACCTTGGAGGAAACACACTGTTTCTTGGGATCACTACCACCCTATGTGCAAATTTTTTAAGAAAAGATTTGTTTACTTATTTGAAAGGCAGAGTTAGAGAGACGCAGAGGCAGAGAGAGAGAGAGAGAAAGAGGTCTTCTATCTGCTGGTTCACTTTGCAAATGTCTGCAACAGCTGGAGCTTGGCTGATCTGAAGCCAGGAGCCAGGAGCAGGAGCTTCCTCCAGGTCTCCCACATGGGTGCAGGGGCCCAAGCACTTGGGCCATCTTCTACTGCTTTCCCAGGCCATAGCAGAGACCTGGATTGGAAGTGGAGCAGCCGGGACTTGAACCGGCACCCATATGGGGTGCAGGCACTGCAGATGACAGCTTTACTCACTATGACACAGCGCCAGCTCCCCTTATGTGCACATTTAACATTCTCCTTCATACTCCCTAGTGTTGGGGTGTACCTGTGTATGGGCCAGAAAGACGTGCACAAATTGCCCATGAAGACCAAAGAGAGTTCGGTCTTGGCAAAGCTTTTTTCTTGTGGTTAGGTCATAGAGTCTGAAAATCTTATGCTGTATTTGAAATGTATATCATGATCTTTCCTTTTTCACCTGTTGGGAATGAAAAAGAATCCAGATACTGGGAATTCTCTAGAATTATTCTAGAAAAATTCTCTAGAAATATTAGCAGGGGAAAAGAAGAGGATTGAAAGGAACTGAGTCAGAGAACATACTTTTATTGCTAGCTGTATGCCTTCCTGGCCTCATGAAAGTTATCTCAATTCCCTTATCTATAAGGAAAATGCCTCCATTTGCTGGCCTTCTCTTTCTAAGAACTGTAACTCTGCTGGCCTCAGTCCCAGGCAAGTGTGCCAGATTTCTTTTCTTCCATCTCCTCCCTTCTCTTCCTCTTTCCTCCTTTATTCTTTGTTAAAGAAAATATAGACAGACTCTCCCTCCCTCCTTCCTTCCTTTCTTTCCTTCCTCCCTCCCTCCCTCCTTCCCTCCCTCCCTTTCTTCCTTTCCTTCTTTCTGATTTATTTATTTGTTTGAAAGTCAGAGCCGCAGAGAAGGAGAGGCAGAGAGAAAGGGAGAGAGACGGAGAGAGAAATTGATCTTCCATCTGCTGGCTCACTCCCCAAATGGCTGCAACAGCCAGAGCTGGGCTGATCTAAAGCCAGGAGCCAGGAGCTTCTTCCAGGTCTCCCATGTGGATACAGGGACCTAAGGACCTGGACCATCTTCTGCTGCTTTCCCAGGCACATTAGCAGGGAGCTGGATTGGAAGAGGAACAGCCGGGTCTTGAACTGGTGCCCATATGGGATGCCGGCACTGCAGGCAGCAGCTTTATCTGTTAAGCCATGGCACTGGCCCCAGTCATTCTTTCTCTAATGGGATGTGTTTTAGTTTTTCAATTTTGCCAGTTGATTCAAAAGATTTTTAAAACCATATTTGAAAGAGTTATACAGAGAGAGGAGAAGTAGAGAGAGAGAGGTCTTCCATTCGATGGTTCATTTACTCCCCAATTGGCCACAATGGCCAGAGCTGTGCTGATCCGAAACCAGGAGCTTCTTCCGAATCTCCCACGTGAGTACAGGGGCCCAAGGACTTGAGCCATCTTCTACTGCTTTCCCAGGCCATAGCAGAGAGCTGGATCAGAAGTGGAGCAGCCGGGACTCCAACTGGCGCCCATATGGGATGCTGGCGCTTTAGGCCAGGGTGTTAACCTGCTGCGCTACAGCACCGGCCCTAAGTCCGTATCTTGTATCCATGGCTTGGGTTTGAGTCCTGGCTCTAATTCTGATCCAATTTCCTGCTATTGTGCACCTTGGGAGACAGTGGGTCTCTGCCACTCATGTGGGAGACCCGGATTGAGTTCCTGGCTCTTGGCTTCAACCTGGCCCAGCCCTGGCTGTTGTGGATATTTGGGAAATGAGCTAGTAGACAGAAAATCTCTCTCTGAGTTTCAAATTAAAAATAAATAAATAAATAATATTTTTTAAAATGTTTCAAAAAAAGTGTATGATGAACAAAACACATCTGATGTCTTATTTCTGCCTGTATGCTGTTATTTACTTATTTATATTGATTTTTTTCTACTGTGGGTTTTTTCTTTCTGTTTGTGCCCCCTCCCCTCCTTTTTGTGGAAAAGTTTAACAACTGTACTGAATTCACAAGTCATATAATTCACCCATTTGAAGTGTGAAATTCAATGGTTTTTAGTACGAGGTACTTCAAAATGTTTATGGAAGATGGAATTAAAAGATACATATATTTTGGTGCAGGGAAATTGAAATCCTTGCATATGGGAGCTCTTCAAAAAGTTCATGGAGGACCGGTGCCGCGGCCCACTGGGCTAATCCTCCGCCTAGCAGCGCTGGCACACCGGGTTCTAGTCCCGGTTGGGGCGCCAGATTCTGTCCCGGTTGCCCCTCTTCCAGTCCAGCTCTCTGCTATGGCCTGGGAGTGCAGTGGAGGATGGCCCAAGTACTTGGGCCCTGCACCCCATGGGAGACCAGGAGAAGTACCTGGCTCCTGCCATTGGATCAGCGCGGTGCACAGGCCGCAGCACACCGGCCGCGGCGGCCATTGGAGGGTGAACCAACGGCAAAGGAAGACCTTTCTCTCTGTCTCTCTCTCTCACTGTCCACTCTGCCTGTCAAAAAAAAATAAATAAATAAAAAACAAAAAGTTCATGGAAATATGTATTATGAAAAAGCTATGTGTAGATTTCAAACTTTTTTTGCTCCCAAATAAACTCATCTGTTAATTTCATTTTAAGATTTATTTATTTATTTGAAAGAGTTACACAGAGAGAGGAGAGGCAGAGAGCGAGAGAGAGAAAGAGAGC